TGGCAGTAGTAAATTAATTAGTTTGCTCTGGCGTAATAGCTTTGCAGTACAGTGGTGACATTTTAATGCAAAGCTAAGTAAGTAACTCCACAGTAAGTGTCTTGTGTAGTTGTGCTCACTGATATAAACACATAACTTTGCTGTAACCCTTTTCCTTTATCTCCCTTCATATTTCTTGCTACCTTCACTTGCTTCATTTTGCTTCAAGTAAGGTTAGCTACTCATCAGTTTGGAACCTCTATCTTCCAGTGTATTTTTCTTCAGGACATACAGTGTGGCTTTAATTTGAGGACACTTTGGAATGCCAATTCAATATGAATAATAATTAATATTAATTAATCATTTCTTATGGGAAGATCGGTGCAAATACTGTTTCTGTCCAGCCTCAGGCTTTATTTTGGCTACTCTGTCTCTTTTATGGATTTACAGATTATAAAGTCATAATATTTCCTTGTCATCATCTAGTCTGACCTCTTGTATGATGTGTCCTGTAAGTCCTGGGACTTTCTTGAATTAAATCTTGTTTAAAATGGAGAACTCTTTAAAAAAATTTCAAGTCTTCATTTAAAAGTTGTCAGTTATGAAGACTCTGTTGTCAGTTATGAAGCTTTGACTGAATATTTTTGTTGCTCCCTTCAAAATGTTTAGTATTTGGGAATGTGTATACCCATAATCCACCAATATTTGCCCTTCCATATTTAACTGTGTGATTTCCTCAGCCTTCTTAATTGTTATATGGTTCACTTGCAAGACCGAATTTTTTGGTAACAAACTGCAAATATGACAAAAAAATGGTAATTTGTTGCTTACAGTAACACACTATTTGTGATAGGGGTTGTCCTATGAAATTATGAAATGAGCCTTTGAAAATGATGCCTCAGTAGCATTATACTATCTCCTAAATACATGCCAAATCCTCTCTGAATTCCCTTCCCATTAAGCAGTATCATAAATCTGCAGCACTTCCAGGTGTCTATGTAGACAAATGCTATTACCTGATGTGGCAGGGCACTGTTGATGCCCACTACTTTAAGGGCTGAGACAAGCAGCCAGCAGGTGCTTGATTGCAGTGGCCATTTTAGAAACACCACCTGGCTGCAAGACTGAATGCAGCATCCTGGAGGGAAGGGCAGGAGCTTGAGGGAATAGTTTGGAGGCTCCGGGTCCTGGGCATGACTTAAAACTGCACCCTGCTGGGGATGGGTGGCCTGGTGGGACTCCTGGTGGGGCTCCTGGTGGTGTGGGAGTCCCCAGAAAATACCAGGCCAGTTACCACCCTGGTGAAAGGTGGGTCAGGGGGCCTTAATAACCCCAGGTCCCACAACCAGGTGGGTTACCCCATAGTAGGACCAAGAAGGTGGACCCGGGTTAGAGAGTGGGCTAGAGGATCAGAAGCCTGACTTGAAACACCCTTGACCGGTCAATGCTGGGGCCAGGACCAGAAGGGTCAAAAGGGCGAGGGTCCCACCACAAGGGATGCCCAGAGCTGAGGGCCTGGGGTTTCTGACTGGCCTTGGAGATGAGTCTAAGGCCTGTCAAAGGTCCTGGGGGTGGGCACACCTGAGAGGGGGAAGAGTTCAGGGAGCTAGGCAGCCCAGAATGAGGGTGGGGTTGGCCACCTGATTGGAGGGATCCAGTTGGGATCTGGATTGGAGGATTCTGGGACCCAGTGTGGGGCCGGTGATGTTAAGAACTGTGGATGCCACCTGTGAGGTTTGGGCTCAGTGTAGGGGAGGAAGAGAGCCACAGATAGTGCCCCCTGGCATCGGGGCAAGAATAAGCAGCCTCCTGCCTAATTACCATCATAATTATATATCATCAAGGCATGGCAGGAGAGGAGGCAGGCAGTTGCCCATAGAAACAGGTGTGCGGGCTGGCATGAGAACTGGCCCTAAGCTTTCCCCCTGTTACACCTGCATTTGATGTGTCTTCTACAAAGTTCCTGTTTTCCTGATAAATTGCAATCTGTTGCTTAAATGCTCTGAAAAGATAAGAATAATTTACAGTTGCTTAATTTATGAAATTTTCTTGCAAATCCAATTAATTTGAAGAATTGACTTGCTCCATTTTTACTTCAATATAACTTTTTTTAAATAGTGGTTAGGAGGCAGTTTTGTCAGAACACAAGGCACAGTAATTTTTATTAACCTCAGGAGCATTCAATTCAATGTTAGTCTGCTTCAGCTTCTGGAAACACACTGATTATGAAAGAGAATTTATTTTGTATACTTCCTTTCTAACAAACATGTACTAGACCTATTGGACTATTAGTTGATAAGTGGTATGTTCATTGATCAGGGTATAATGATTTCCATATCATTTTTTTGTGACAATGGTAATAGCCATTAGAAAGTAAAAGGAAACTTTGGTTGTGATATTTTCCCCATACAAGGAGTTCTGATGACTAAAGTTGTCCTTTTCAAAACCAGTGATTTGTAGCCCTAAGTGCATGGCCAAAGAAAGTATTTATGTTCAGCATTTATCCCAGTGGTTAGGTTTCAAATGAACTAGATACACTGAAATCAATTGTGTTTTCCAAATTTAATAATATAAATGTCCAGTTAATTCTGTTTATCATGAGCCAATTATTTACTTCTTCTTTGTACAAGATAACAATTTTCAATTTTGGATTGAAAATTTTAATACTGCATCTATAGAATTAAAAGCCTGATTTTTGCAAATTATTTGTATTTTATTTAATTATACGATTTTAAAACAACTTGGCCAATCGCTAAGTATTTCTGCCAATGGTCAAGAATTCTAGAAGTTTCAAGATTCATAGATGCTAGGGTCGGAAGGGACTGCAACAGATTGCCAAGTCCGACTCCCTGTCTAGGCAGGAAAGAGCCTGTGTATAGGGCCGCTGCCGAATCGGCTGAATCTCCAAATCAAACAGGCCCCATCCCATGCCCTCTCTCCCAGCCCCATCAATGGCTGCCCTGCCCCATCCCAGCGTCCCGGCGCTTAAAAAAAAAAAAGCCCCGCACTCACTGGCTGCTGCCAGGCAGGGGGAGGGGTGTTTATCCCCGCTGCTCCCCAATGCCCTGTGCTGTGTGGGGGGCTCTGCCAGAAGCCCCCAGAAGACCCATTAGCTACTGTAGCAGCTGGTGGGTGTGATGTTTTTTTTTTAATTAAAGATCCAGGATGCTGGTGCTGGGTGGGGTAGCCATTGGGAGGGCTGGGAGGACGGGCAGGGGGTGGGAGCTTGTGGCAGAGCCTCCCACACAGTGTGGGGAAGTGGGTCCTTTAAAAAATTTTTTTAAAGAACCAGGAGCTAGGCCTGGGCAGGGCAGCCATTGACAGGGCTCAGAGAACAGGCAGGGGTCAGGGGGAACTCAGGGGTGCTGGGGGAGCAGGCAGGGGATGGGGCCTGGGGGGGTCTCCCCATGATCCCCTCCCCCCACCTTCAACCTTCACCCCACCCGCTACTTACCAGCATGGAGTCCGAGTCCAGCTCCCTGTGGTGGCAAGCAGAGACTGCCCAAGTCTCTGAATCTCTCCAAAGCTCTCCAAATCTTTTCCAAATCAATGGAGAACTTCAAATCAATTTGAAGCTTTTTATTGGTCTTGTGATTCGATTTGGATTTAGAGATTCAGCTGCCAAATCGGGCCTAATATCCTCCAAATCGAATCAGCACCCAAAGATTTGCACAGCCCTTCTCTCTCTCTCTCTCTCTCCCTATATATATATATCTGTAGATCTATATAGAACTATAGAGATGTCGATAGATATAGATAGATAAAGATATTATAGTGGTGTTTCATTTTAATCATGGAAAAATGTGGATTTTGGGTTACATTTTTTAATCCAAAAATTGGGGTTGTTGTTTTTATCAGAGAAAACCCAGCCATGAGACATGTTGAAACTTGCTTCCTCAGTTGTTTTTGGTACTATTCTGACTGCACATGCTATTCTATTTTCATACTATCACACTACCCCAATGAAGTATTTTCCACTCTTCGACTGCTATTTAACTTAAACTAATTGGAAATTAACTTCACATAATTTACTTCATTACAGAGTGTAGTTTCCAATAATTTAGACTCAGAACATCATGTACTGCACAGGTCAACTCTGAATTTTAAATTAGGTAATTTCATTAAAATTATAGATATGAAAAAGAATACCTAATTTTAAGTTAATGCAGTTCAAATTCAAAATTGCACTGATAGCTTCATTTTCCTTATGAAGTATTTTGTTTTAATTTTGATAATATGTCTATCTCCTTCCAGTGGCATATTCTCTAAGCATAGTGGATGAGTTTGTGCTATCATTACTCATAATAAGTAACATCTTTTGCAATGAGTTCTCTCAAAGATTTCTTATGGAGTAGGGTTGCACTCAGTGTGAACAAGGGTGGCAGAACTAGAATACACAAAACTTGCCTGTTTATATAGAAATAAATATGTGTCAATGCTCAAAATTTCAACACACTAAGAGATGCGATAAACAGAGAAAAATACCTTTTAGCAACATGACCTTGCCATTCAGAATGTACTTGGGATGTATGTCGAGTAACCTTTTCTATCAGCAGCACATTTGGACTCTTGCTCAAGTGTAAGAAACAGCACCCATGGTATTTTGAAGTAATAAAGGTCTACTTGACTATCCATGATTCAGTCTCTTTATACGTGTACTCCCCAAAGGTATGGATTACTTCTCAGCAATTTCTGGGTTATTGCTACAAATAAAGTGTAGTTTTATTGGTTTTACTTCTTATGGCATGGCTATTTGGTGTCATTACTTGACACTTGACTTCATGGTATGATACAAAGTTCATTGCAGTGTTAGTGAATGGCCACCAGGGGGTGGTAGTGTGTACCTAGTCCAGGGGTAAGCAAAATATGGCTTGTAGGCCACATCCAGCCCAACAACAGATTTGATCTGGCCAGCAGGTGGATGGCTTCCAACTCATTGGATTTGACCTGCTGGTGGCTTATTGGATCTGGCTACATGGTACCAGGCAAGCAGGCAGACAGGACTGCTTCCATCAAGTGGCAACAGCCCTTGATAAACTGGCATCAGCTGTGGACCTGAGTGGTGCTTCTGCCACAACAGGTAGCAGCAGCTGTGGATGCCACCAGCAGGGCAGGCTCAGGAGCCCCAACACAGAACCTCCTGGCAGCAACCATAGCTGACGCCGCCATCCTCCCAGAGTAATGGATGCTCCCACCTGGATCCCTGACCTGAAACCTGCTGGCAGTGTCAGCTGTGGACCCAGATAGGAGCTTTTGTAGTGTTGGGCAGGTGGCACTTTCATAGTGTTGGGCACGTGGCAGCATCAGTTGTGACATTGCCAACAGGTTCTGTGTTGGGGCTCCAGAACCTGCTGGCTGTGTCCACAATTAACATTGGTCCCTGCCTACTGTGATGGAAGTCCCCATCTGGGTCCAAAGCTGAGCTTCAGGGCTCCTGATGAACTATAGCTCTGGCCAGTAGTGGAGAGAGGGAAGGAGGGGGAGAGTAAGAGATGAAGAGGAAGAGAGAGAGAGAGATGGATGTGACCTTCAACAAGTCCTCAAAACTTGTTAAGTGGCCCTTGAGCCAAAATAATTGTCCCCCTGACCTAGCCTAATTGTAGGTTTCTGTTCCTCCTTCTCACTAATACTGGATGCATCTACACAAGATGTTTATTGTGGAGCTGCCTAATTAATTCTGCAGTAAAGTCTCAATGTCTACATGTGTGGCTATTAGAACACAGGAAACTAATTAACTCCACTTTTAAATACAAATACTATCCTGAGTTGGTGTTCTTTACTCCACAGCAACACATGTGTAGATGCTGATGAGCAGGGATCCTGGTTTTCTCCGACAAAAACAGTTCCAAATTTTCAAAACATAACCCCAAATCCACATTTTTCCATGATTGAAACACCACTAAATATCTATATATTTAGGAAATGTGATACTTTTTTTGTCAGTGAAAACCAGGATCCCTGCTGATGAAGTTGACTGGAGCATGAGGGTGCTTCAGTGTGGGGGCTGCCTCCCAGTTAGCCCCATACTGGAGCACCATCATGCCCCAGCCAGCCCCTCCACAGTATATTGAGCCAAGTCACTGCAGCCCTGGCCTGGCAGGCTGGTCCACCTTGGCACCTTGCCAGCCAGGGCTGCTCCAGCCCATCTCAATGTGCTGCTGTCCTGGTCACACATGTAAACGGCACACCTGGGAGCAACGAACTCTAGCATGATATGTGCCAGAGGTTATTGCTCCATGCTAATAGCATGTGTAGATGTGCCCATTGAGTTCAGTAAAGAACTATTCCTTCACTTCACTGAAGTCTCTGTGGTGGTACCATGGCTGGGGGTGCCCAGGTGTGTGTGTAGGGTAGAGTGGCTGTCTGGGTCCCTGCTTTTAGGTTTCCAAGAACTAGCTGCTTCAGAGCAGCTGCAGCTTCTCAAGGTCACTTTTCCCCAAACCACTCATCAGTTTGCTTCAGTTCTTGGAAACTGACTACAGTTCAATGCATCCCAGGCTGATTTCGGAGTGGAACGGTGGCCAGATCCAGGGGGGCGGGAGGGTTGGGGGCCTCAGCCCTACTTCAGTGTCCCTGGTGGGTTGGGAGCTCAGGGAGAAAGAATCTTTGGCTTTTAAAGAGCTGGTAAGTTTCCTCCAGTGATGGCAGTGGAGTGCTTGGGCAGCATCTCTGAGCCACCAGTCCCCAGGCACACAGAAGTGGGGTCCAGGAACCACCCACCTCATATGGCCACTTCCCATCCCAAATAAGCCTGGGTTGCACCGAACCCTGGCCAGCTGCCACCAGTGGAGGAAAATTGACCAGCTCCTTAGATGCAGTGGAGAGCTGCCCCAGAGCCCACAGCCAGGGTCACTGCAGTTAAGTGCAGGCCATAGAGGTTGGTGTTACATACTAGAATATCTAGTTTGCTGTGTGGTGGTTGGGGTTGAGGACTGAGGGATGCCTGGGACCAAACAGATATTATACATGGAAAGCTTTGTGTCCATACATAACACTGAAATGGTTCATGGAGAACTGGTTCAAAATAATACTTGATTATCCAGATATATTTTAAAAACAGTTCTTCAGATTTAAACCTTTCTAAATTGGCCTGGATGTTCGGATGCTCGAGATTTACATTGGTCTAAGTGTCATGTCTGTCTGCGTTATAGTACACAGTCATGCATTCACACAAGAAAAGTTTTCAGTTTAATTTATGTTCTGAACTAAGGTTTGGATTGATTCTTATTATGCCTTTTTTATCTACATCCACTGAGACTTTGTACTGCTGTCTCCATTTACCTGTCAGAGCCTGAAAAATGTTAGGTCCAGGACATTCAATCTAACCTCTCATTTTACCTCTCCCATTGACTCTGTTACCCTTTTAGCTGACAGCTTCAGTGCCATGCAGCTTGACAGCTCTCAGCTGACATAGGTGGTCTGCAAGCTGACACTGCTAAATGAACTCAATGTTAAGGGTCAGAAGGCACAAGACAATCAAAAAGAGAGTAAAACTGCTTTTAAAGCTTTTTTCTAAATCAAAATTGAAAACAAGAACCAAACACCCAGAGTTCAGAGAGGAAGGAAGGCAATTTTAGTTTTATTAATTAAAAACACAGTTGTATTTAAAACAGAGAAACTGAGCTGTTTCAGTTAAGTAATGATAGCTGAATCATAGAGTATTTCTCAAGGAGGAATGGCTGGCAGAAAAGAACTGGTGGCTTGAAAGGCAGCCAAGGATTATTACACCCTATTGATCATTAATCTCTAAGAGAAGAACCGAGATGAGAGAACTGTTGTTGTTAAAATTAAAACAAAGGGGAAAAAAAAAACAGCTGTATACAAAGCATCGTGCTGATACCATTTCACTTGATCCTGCATCTGTATGCAGTAATGAATAATCAGTAAGTTAGCCATTCACAACATAGCTTATCATTTATCTCCCTTCTTTGGCAGTAATGAATGAAGGGGTCACCTCTAATTCCTCATACTACTATGGTTACTCTGGTAAGCTAAGCTTCCCAGCTTGTGAGGAACAGCAGCTACCATTCAGAGGAGTTTTAGAAAGACCAAAGTTATTTTAGTCAATCACAGAGCTTAAGATTGCACAGGGAAAAGCATTTTAGAGATCCTGTCTCTGCTGAGTCCAACAGCAATAGCACTGATTGAAACACATTTCAATGCAAACATACTTGTCAACATATACAGTGTGTCACCCAATAAAAGTTGTAAAGATCAAGTCCTAGGAAACAAACTTGTTAGAATGAAGTTACTGTCTGATTGGACAGACCTTTTCTCTTCAGCATTCCTTAGAACACTGCTCAGGTTTTAAAGCAAAGCACTCAAAAGTTAGGAAATACCAGAAAGAAGCTTACATGTGCAACTCTAATTTCCCTCTCTTGTGTATCTGTATCATGCAATCTTTAAGTACATGATCGCATAATGTTTCTACAGGTCCCCATCTCCCCTGCCTTATTCAGTGTGCTGGACAGAACTACTCTGGGGATGAATCAGGGTTGTGCAGTGAACGAGACTTGTCTCTAGGACTCCTGCTTCATTAGTTACTGAAATTAGATGGTGTGTAGTAAATGAGGAAGGGACTGCAGGAAGGGAAAGGATTAGAGTTAGCTGGAACACAGTTAATAACATTTAATTTCCTTGAACTATGCGTCTGAAGTCCAGAGCTCTCTGGTGACTTCCAACCAGACAGGGAGGGGGAGAGGTCAATCAAAAAAACTGAGCTTTTTGATCTGCAGGCAGCTGCTTTTAGTGTTCATTTCATGAAAATGTAAAAAAGGTAGGGGTGCACTGATAGAGATTTTGGGCATCGATAGAGATAGCCGATGTTTAAAGGGGTGTATCGGTCAATACTGATCCAATTTCCAATACAGCTGTGTCCAGGTGGTAAGTCTGTTGTGGTGGAAGGGTAAGGGGGAGGGAAGGGGCATGGGGAGGCATATCAACCCCCTGCCACGGTGAGGGAGGGAAAGGGGCAGGCACTGCCCAGCTGGGGTGGGGTGGGACGCAGGAGAGACCCATGGCTCATCTGGGGGGGGCACACAGAGGGGGTGCGGTTTCTGCCACTGTATGCATCCTGGGAGAGCATGGGGGGGGAGGTGTGTGCCCCCAGATCTGCACAGCGTGCAGTGGGGTGGGTCATGCTGGACTTTTCCTGGATGGGGGGGAGGGATGGGCCGCACTGTGCTTGGGGTGGGCAGCAGCAGCACTGGGAGGGGGGCTATGGTAAAATTGGGATGGCTGCATCCCTCCCATAGCCCACTTCTCAGTGCTGCCACCACCCACCCTGAGTGTAGCCCATACCACCCCAGCACCCTCCCTACTGGGAAGAGCCCGGCATGGCCCTCGGCCTAAGCCTGCCCCATCCCTCACTGATCCAAGGGCTCAAGCCCCCCGCCATGCCCTCCAGGGAGCTGCATCCCCCTGCCCCCATATCCTCTGGAGAGCTGCGGCTTCATCCCATGCCCCGTCCTGCCCTGGCTGGGCAGTGCCTACCCCAGCCCCAGCTCTCTCCCTTCCTCACCACAGGGGGTTTTGATTTGCTCCCCTTCCCCCCTCCTCTTTTTCCTCTTCCTCCCCTTCCACCACAACAGACTTACCAGCTGGACACAGCTCTCCAAGATGCTGGGCTGCTCTCCACGTCATCTATGTGCTCTGCTGTACCTGTGTGCATGCATGGGTATTTATCGGCCAAATTATTGGTCACATCAGGCCAATTTCTGATATAGTCAATTTTCTTTATATCGGTGCTGATCCAATATTGGACTGATGTATTGGTGCACCTCTAAAAAAAGGTTTTGCTTTCACTGCTGTACAGAACCAAAACAAAAGCTGAAAGCAACACAAAATGGGTTGTTATCCTTAGGATAGTATCATGCCTAAAACAGTTGAATGTGGCCTTTGATAAATTAATTCTGTCCCTGCTTTGGCCAAAGAGTTCTGCATGATGCAAGGCAAGTCACCTCAACCAGACTTTTTACTGGTTATCACTAATTGTGTGCATCATTTTCTGAGTGTCTGGCTTGAGAACCAAGACCCCGAATAACAGAATTGCTGAATATATACTCAGTTTGGGGAGCTGCAAAACAATAGGCACCAAAATTAGTGGATTCTTTTCACCTTAATGTTTCCAAACCTCCATCTGCCATTTGTAACCTGGGGATAATCGGAGGAGGCACTGGGACAATGCAAACCATGCAATTACATAAGAAACTAAGCTGGCCAGGAACCCCTACACTGTGGCCATGTTTACTATGGTTGTCTAACAAAAAGCAGAGGCCTGAAACTGAACCTTTGCATGGCCTTGCCAAAAATTAAATAAATCTCTCTGGGCCCAGATGAACACCACATGAGCCAAGTGTGTGGCTAAAAAATGGGGATGCCTGACATCTTCCTTTTCTCTCAGACTTAAGCACTCATCTGTCACTCGGATTTACAACCTCAAACCCATTCCTGGACTTGAGTGCCTGCATGGTCCCTTTGGGTACAGACAATTTACTCATGTTTTTTTTAAAGCATGGGAGCACATGGGGGTCTTTCAAGTAGCCTAGTGGTAACAGTCCACTAGAACACAGGAGATTGGGAACCTGAGTTGTTGCTTTGCTCAACCTGGATCATAAAACCCACAGCCACTTGTACACATGATGGGGCTTAGCCCCATAAATTGAAACTGTGGGTTTATAATTGCGACTCACCGTTTCAATTTAGGGGCTTCTGTCACTGTTATGGTAAGGGGCCAGATCCTTTTTTTTTTTCCCTTGAAGAGCCTGCCTACCTCTCCCACAGCTGCAGGGGTGAGCTGCTGGTGGGCTGAGTGTCTCCTGAGCTATGGTGGGCCCTGGTCCTTCCCTCCATGGTGGCAGTACCCCCCAGGGCTACCTGTGTGGGTTGCTAGGAGGTGAGTGCCATCCAGGGTCTGCTGCTGCCATGGAGGGAAGGTCTGGGGGCCCCTGCAGCCCAGGGCCTGCCAGCAGCTCAGGCTGGAGAGGCTGGCAGGCTCCACAGGAAAAAAAGAAAAAAGAGCTGTTTTTTTTTTTTTGTCCTAAGTGGAGCCTGCCTGTGTGAGCTGCTGCCAGAATGTGCAGCCCCAGAACCGAGGGGAGCCTGGCTTATCTTTCAGAGCTTGGGTTGAATCCCAGGCTTGAGATCCTGCTTTTTGATTAGCGGTGCCCATCCACCAATCAGGAGGCAGCAAGAGAAATAACATCATGTCCCTTTCCTGAGGGGAGGGGGAGAATAGCTCCCCTGGACCTGATTGAACACTGCAAGCTGTCAGGTCTGGAAGACTTCAGGGGCGGAGCCCTGGAGCATATAAAAGGAGCTGCGTGCTCAGCACAAGGGCAGATGCACTGGGGACTGAGAAGACACAAGAGCAGGGCTTAGAAGAGCTGAGGAGAGCAGCTCAGCAGGGCTCAGCAGTAGCCCAGGAAGAGCCCTTGAAAACTTCTATCAGTGGGGAGCATGGCACAGCTTCAGCAGTTAGGCTCTTGGTGTGCAGCATGGTGTCCAGACCCTAGAAGCTGCGTGAGGCAGCTCGGGTCTGCAACCTCTGGCATGTGGCCAGAGATACGGTGCACAGGCTGGTGCATGGAGTAGGATCTTTGGAGCCCATGGGGTGGCTCAGGTCTTCAATCCGCAGAACGAGGCTGGGACCTCAGTGCAGGAGGTGCTGTATGGAAGGTGAGAGACCCTGGACGCTGCTTGAGGTGGCTCGGGTCTACAACTGCTGACATGGGGCATCAGCTCAGTGCAGACGATGCTGCTCAGTGGGTCTGGGAACAGACTGAACCCTGGTGCTGCACAAGGCTGTCCAGGCCTCCAACCCCTAGCAGAAGGTGAAGCACCCACTACACACAGCATTGCATGTGGCCCTAAGCCAAGATGGCGGCAGCAGAGTCAGGCAGCAGGAAAACCCGGTGGGGAACAGAGCTTGACCTGGAGAACAAGAGGCAACCCTCTGGGACTGTGGAGTAATAAGTTACCCTGGAGAGAAGGTCCCCACAGGGGAAGGACCCCCAGAGGGTTGTGAAGGGGCACCACGTGGGCTGCTCCTGGGTGATAGCAGTGGAGCTTACGAGTCTTTGGGTCTTCCTCTCCTTTTTCTTTCCCCCCACCTCTTTTCCTGTAGTGGTAACTTGGGAGTGGGGCCCCTGCCCTGGAGGGAACCCAGGTAGTCTAAGGACTGCTGATTGTATTTGTGGACTGTGCCTTAGTTTATGTGAATAATTTGAAGTAATAGTTTGTATATGAATAAAGTTATAAGGTTGCCCAATGAATATTCTTTGGTCTGGTTTGTTCTATTGTTCATCTGTATTTTAAAAGATAACTGGGTATGTGTATATCTGTGTGTATATCTCTCTGTGTGTGTGTGTAATCTATATCCTTATCCTTTAATGGTTTTGTTGTAATAATAAACCTGTATATAGTTAAGTAATTGATGGACTGGACCTGACTCTCTAGGGGATGGAGGCAGCCACTGGGCTATTGTGTCCCTCCACAGCACACTGCCCTGCCAATAATTTCCTTAATTGGAGAGTGAAGTACAAACTCATGTACACCTGGGCTACACTAGGTAAGTGCAAAATGTTTAATAAAATAAAACTCCACATATTTTTGTTGGTCTTTAAGATCAACTTCAAATCATTTCATGACTATTTAGTGTTCATCAGCCGCTTTGAAAGCAGAAAGCACACTATAAAAATAATTATTAGATGAATAAAAAAACTGACCATATACTATGAATACATCACAGGTGTATGATTTCATCCCTTCTTTTGGGCCTCTCAGCACACCCTCTGATTTTCTGCAACTGTAGTAGTATTTCTGGATCAAAACCTTGCAACAGGGTTGCATTCCAAAGTCTAGTTCAGAGTTTGACATTGATGCTATAAATGCCTATGACACAGCTCAAAGAGAGTAACCATTTATAGAGATTAACTAGTTTGGTATAGTGCCCTGTAAGCTGCAGTTTAATGAGCTGGAAAGTCTCATTTTTACAAATACTAAAATTTAAAAGGACTAAAGGGACAGAAGACTATATTCTATTGATGTTTTCCTGAACAAAAGACATATATCTTATTGACAACCAGTGTTATCCAACAATTTATAACATGCCTGTACACCTAATAGTCACTTAATTTGAACATCAGTGGAAAAACGAGATGTCAGAACACATTTTTCAGCTTGCTAGTGGTATTTTCCAAATTTGAATGAACAAGAGTAATGCTAGCCTATGAAAAATCTTGGAATGATTTACTAATCCCCTAGTTTATGGCCTGTACACCAAAAGTATACACTTAAAGATCCTCTTTTATTCAAGATGTCTAATGCTCAATCACATTTATTTTTAGGGGAAAAAAATGGATTTGGCTTGACTGCATTTTTATCTGCTGTAAATCAGGAGTAACTGCACTGAATCTAACAGATTGAAATTGCATTACAAAATGTGAAGGCAAGTAAAATGAGAATCAGGCCCATTATTCCTTACAGTAGCTCTGGTTTGTTAATTAAAGGCTAGATTGTGAGTTAAGGATCTATTCTGGGCAAGGGGAGCATAATGTTGCATTATCCCTTGAGCAGCCCAGGAGGGATCTGCCTCCCTGTATCCCCAGGGAGGGAATAAATGTGCTGGGTCTATCCCCAACACAGCACATAATAGTTAATAAGGCAGCAGTGCTACACTCTCTCCCACCCAGCTGTGCAAAGTGGGGATACAGCACTTTCATGGAGCTTGTTTTTCCATCTCTCCTGAGTAGGATGCGGAGTAATAAGATGGTACCTCATTCCCTCCTACATTCATAACTAACTGAAAAAGCTGGCACACACTCTGGTCCCAATGCATTAACCTTCTCTGGCTGCATCCAGACAAGCGAGTACATGCCTGTTGCAGCATCTCAAAGCAGTTTGAGAAATCACAGTATAAAAAAAAAAAAACCACTGGAAAAAAGTGGCACAAGGCGTGCTCCTGGAATGTACCCTGAAGCACTGGAGGCTGTGTCCTCCAAAGAAACACTCTAGCACCCAGCCAAAGTGTTTCTATACCTGTTGCATGCTCCTGCTGCTCCAGCACACTGCCTCAGTGTACTGGAGAAAATAGAAGTGGGGCAAAACTGGCAGCAGTATCTCGGAGCTCCCTGGGAGCCAGGCTCTGTCCCTGGTAAGCAGGGACATGGGGCTGGAGGGACTGTGTGGGTGACGGGACTGTGTGTGGGTGGAGGACTGTGAGGTGGGGGGGACTGTTTGGGAGGGGTGGGTCCCCTCCTCTGCCCCCACAGCACACAGTCCCTGCCACCCCCGGTGGCAGCAGACAGCAGTGGGCTCTCAGAGTGCTTGTGGCCCACTGCAGGCAGAGCCCCTCAGTTACGTGGGGCACCAGGGATTACACCTGGTGCATGCAGCTGGCCCAGCCCACTGCTGCGCACCTACAGGCAGAACCAGGCCAGCTCCTGCTGCCACCCGGGGCTCCCAGCACTGTATGTGGGAGCCGTGCACCATCCGGCTGAGTCAGCTCCTGTCTCCATGTGCCTGCTACATGGAGGCAGGAGCCAGCCTGGCCCTGTGTGCAGTGCCAGGAGACCTTGGTGGCAGCAGGAGCTGTTCCAGTCCTGCTCAAAAGTCTGTGCCAGAGGGCCAGGCCAGCTCTTTGCACCATATGTAGCCACCAGGTCTCAGACAATGCAGTGTACCACCAGGAAGCTCTGTTTATAGCAGGCTGTGAGAGCCCCAAGGACCCACTGCTGGCTGCTCCTTCACCCCATGGGTGGGGGGTGGCCATGTGGCAGGCCCTCCCAGCCCCCCATGAACCCTGAAAACCCCCCCAAACCCACACCCCCCCAAAACCCCACGCCCCCTACATACCAACTTACAAACCCCATGCCCACGAGCCCTCACAAAATCTACCCACAGAACCCACATCATAGTTTCATAGTTTCTAGGGTCAGAAGGGACCTGAGTAGATCATCTAGTCTGGCCTCTGCCATGGCAGGAAAGAGTACTGGGGTGAAACGACCCCACCAAGGTGTACATCTAGCCTCCTCTTAAAGACCCCCAGGGTAGGAGCCAGCACCACTTCTCTTGGAAGTTGGTTCCAGATCCTAGCCGCCCTGATCGTGAAGTAGAGCTTCCTGATATCTAGCCTAAATCTCCCCTCTGCCAGCTTGTGACCATTATTCCTGGTCACCCCTGGCAGTGCTGGGGGGAACAGGGACTTCCCCAGTGCCTGCTGGTCCCCTCTGAACCACATCCATGAACCCCATGACCCTCCACCCACATACACACCCTCAAACCCCACACAGCTCCACAAACCCCACCCTCACAAACCCCACACTCACCCCTACATCCACCCACATTTAAAACTGTAAATATATCAATAAAACATTGCCCAACTGATCTCTCTATATAGGGGCTTTTCGTTTTAATCTCAGAAGAACATGGATTTTGGGTATTTTAATGAGACAATTTGGGTTATTTATCAGAGAATTTGCTGTTTTTAAACAGGGAACACCAAGATCCCTGCTGGTGAGGAAAGTGGTGGGACCTGGGCAGAGGAGCCTGCCCAGGGCCAGCACTGGTGACCCAGCTGAAAGACAGATGAGGTAGCCATTTGCGGCCAGGAGGACATGTTTCAACAGTTCAGAGTGGGCCACTACAATGAGCACATCCTTGGGTGCTAGCTCCTAGATGGCAGAGTGGGGGCACCAGAAGACTTAACAACAATACTGCATGAAAGCCAACTGTGCAGGCACGGCCTACTGGTAGCTGGCCCAGAGGTGCAGGTGGCTCTGCTACAGTGCCCATAACACAGCCCAGGTAGCTGTGTGGTCCCTGTCTGGGTCTGGCAGGTATGCAGCCATGGGGCCCAGGGCCAA